GTGTCAGGTTAGCTTGCTGTTTTCCTTTCCCATGATTTAAATAAAATACCTTTTCTTCAAATTGACAATTATATAAGTTTACTGTTTATACAACAGATCACAAAGATCTTCCTACAGGACCACTCTCTGCAGGTAGGGATTTAGGTAAGTGTCAACTGTAAAGTAATATTTTCTTTTATTCTATAATACTGTGATTCCACAAAATGTCATGCACCTTTAAACTATAAATAGTCTTTCCTCTGTGTAGGAAGTTGGAAAAGTGACACCTTAGCCTCCTTTAAATACAACTTTTCTGTTGAAGTCTAAGCAATACAAAATGATGTTTCGTTGGCAAACTGTTTCTCCTTTAGCCATTTCCAATAGAGTAGAAGTTCATAATTTTGTAATGTTACTATCACTTGGTTCAGTACTGTCACTTCAAAGAAACCTTTTCTAATACAATAAAAGAACTTGAGTAGTATTTTTAATAAACTTGTTCAAATCAAGTATTCTTTTTTTTATGAAATAGATGTGGACAAGAAAAATAACAAAAAGAGAAGGGGAGGAAGAAGAGGAATGGTAAAGTAAAGTAAACAGTAACCTAACAACAACTGACATTACAATAAACTGGGCTAACATTTGTTTTAAATGTCATTTTCCACAGTGTTCAGAAAATCTTAAGTTTATCAATTGTTCATGCAAAAAGAAATTAAATTTTAGAAACAATTCGGGACCCAAGAAATGTTTTTTAATCTGCAACAAATAGAGATTATTCTATGGAAAGAGTGCACAAAATAATTAATGAGTTGTATTGCATCAAAAAAATTAACTAACATCCACACCAGGGCAGTGAACTTAAGTGAGGTTTTTGATCAATACAACATGTGGATAAAAATTGTTCGAGCACTTTCACAAGATGATGTTTTCATTTCATACATACTAAGTTTTTTTCTAACTGACTACAAAGATCGGAAGCTAAGGACTGTAAAAATACACTGTTCATTCAATTAGAGCCATGAATGATATTACTCTACTGTGTATAAATCCTTATTTGTATTAAATTAAGTTCCTCTCTAAACAATTCTAAATTGGAGGATTAAGATAATTTCTCAAAGATTTAAAGGTGAAAAGCAAAAAAAGAAGGTGATGCTATATGATTGTTATTGACTTTTGACAAAGAAATAAAATTAAATATAGATCAAATAAAAAAACCCCTTGAAGTTCATTGCAATGGTTTCCAATACATACATATACAAAGACTATTTTATTTCCAATTACAACAAAAGCTGCAGTATGCAGGCATTGTTGGTAAGATAAAAATATATGATAATACAAATAGGGATTTTATGGTAATAGGTTTATTTATTTAGATCTTCTGAGTATAGTTGTCAGTTTGGTAACATCTCCTTACAAGAGCATTGTCTTATCACAAATTTCAATTTTTTTTCCTCTCAGAGAAATAAGAAATGTTTCAACTGTGGAGGGAGAGTGTGCCTCTCCCTGAGGAAGAGGAGGAGTCAAGAGAAGAGGAAGAGGGGGGGGCAAGGTAGCAGTGGCCAGGGCAGTGGATGATGCTCATCACTTCACCTTACATTTTTATTACAAGTACTAGAATAAAATCAACCATCTCTCACTCGTTTTATGTCACTGCAGCAAATGAATTCAGCTATAACTTCTTACCAAGCTTGAAGGCCATACTGGAGAACATTTTCCTGAGATCATTACAAAAAAACAAAAACAGATGGTTAATATTCCTCCGTGGAACTCGATCAAGCAAAGTTAGCAAATGATTTATCATATTGCACTTCCACTAAACTTTTTAATTTCAAACTCGGTGCCTTTCAAAGCAAGAATACATGGGTTATGATCGTTTTGGTGGAAACGGTCCATATGCAAAGGTACCAAGCGAGTAAGAACCAATTCAGTGCCAGTATTTACCTCAAGACTATCTTGACCAATAGTGATGCAAAGTTACGTTAATTTTCTTAACTGCTAAAAAGTGGTATACATGTAGCCCCTACTATTTAGGATTTAACCCAGCACCAAACCCAGTGTCTTTGCAGAATTGTGGGAGTTTTTGAGCAGATAATTGATAACTATTCGAATCATTTCTCGTAAATCTTTCAGCTAGAAGAACTAGCTTGGATACATTTCGATAGGATTGACACTATCAACCATCATACACATGTTTAGTGATAAAATTGCCTACGGACATTCCACCACCTGGGCTGATTTATGCATTAGTGCCACTGACTCATAGGCCTTGGGTACCCCTCAAATCTCGGAGTTTCCACAATAACTTTGTTCTTTAATGAATTATTGGACAGATAACGAAAACACGGACCGATTACTAAAAGACAATTGCAAAAATTAACATACAAATTAAAGCAAAGGCAAATCACTTAAATAAGAATTTTTGTCAACGTCGTTAACAGTCCTTATCAAAACGCGTCAGTAGCATAGCCGAGAAGCGAGAGATGCTGACTGCAACTGACCAAAGCTACGAAGGGATAATTTCCATACGACTCCTCGTAGACCAAGCTACAAACTACTTTGAACTCACCTCTTCTGAACGAGTTAAAGTCGGTCATATAGACTTGCAAGAAAAACTCCACACTAAAAAAGGCTAGCATAAGATCTCCCATACAAAATAGGACTTTTACCGCTAATGGAAGGAGAAATACAAAGCATCTGCGTTTCACTCAAAAATCTGTAGTGAAGATGAACTTGTGGCGTGACGATTGCTGAGGCATTCTGGGAAAACTAAACGCAAGTTCTCATTGGAGAACAGGTATTAACTCATTAAACTAGGTTGCAGAATTTGCTAAAGGAATATTGAACAACACTATGGCAGCCAAGCTGTGAATAGTGTATACATGTATGCTAATACGCAATGCAAGAATGAAAACCAGGGCCAAGGAGTTGTTAAGATTATCGATATATGTGACAGTTGTACACACGAAATTTTTCCAGTTGCTGGAACAACACAATTCAAACTTTTTTGAGGTTTAAAAAAAAGCTGTAAAGTAGTATATCAATCAAATGTTACATAGTTCAAAGGTCATGAATGAGAGTTAACAAAAAGAAGTACATTGGTTCAAAAACCCTTCATTTTTAGTGATAGCCAAAAACTTACTAAAATACTAGGTAGTTTCTAGTGCATATGTAATTAGACAATAGAGCACTAAAGACAGTCTTTGAGGAAAAGTGTAAATACAAAACGTATAAGACTTAAAAAATTACATAATTTTTTATTATTTTTTTTCCCAGCTCAAATGTATTTTCATGGATATATCGAATGTTTCTAAACACTGCTGCACTACTTCAACTACAGGTGTATGTCATAAGTACTAATAAATGATTATCGAATTTTTTTTTTTTTTTTTTTTTTTTTTTAAGCAGGCAGCATTTAATGCAAGCTCAAACGAAATTCAGATGGCAACTTTTCTCACCTATTTCTTCGTTCACTGTCTCTTCTTCTCAGTAGTTCATTTTCCTTTTGTTTTTGACTTTGTTTTCGCCAGTATTCCCGAGCTCTTTGCCTGTTTTTCTCACGCTGTTCTTCGTCAGATCTTCGCCACTTTACTCGAGACCTTTCCTGCAATTTCATTTTCTGTTCTAGAGTTCTTTTCCATCGCTTTTCTCGAGCCCTCTGTCTCTCCTCTTAAAGCTGTTCTTCGCTAGAAATGTACCTTTTCACTCTTCACCCAGAGTCTCATCGGCTTTGAACAGGTGTTGCGCACACGGCATTGTGCTCATACGTCTGCTGGACAAGAGTAAAGCTATGACGCTGACGTTCTCGCAGTTCAGTTGACCGCGCATGCTAAAAGTATCTCTTTGGACGGTCTGTCGTTCAGTCGTGAGTCCAAATTTTTTCGGCTTGATGGGTTACTACTATTTCGCTTTATTATGATGCTGCGCTGCTCGTGCTGCGGGATCCGCTTTTACAGATGTCCACTGTTTCTTGGTGTAAGGTAAATAAATTGTTTCTTTACCTTGTTCTGGGCTCAACAGCTGCAGTTTAACGACAAGCCTAGCCTTCGTTCCACAAGGCAAAAGGGGAGTGAAGTGTAGAGGAACTCGAAACAACCATTGATGATAAAATATTTTCACTTGGGTTTCAGGACTATCAGCCTAGTACGTTCCCTCTACGTATCATTGGAAATACCCAGGTCCACCCTGAAACGGTTGACCCAGTCCATTCATGGCTAATTTACCAAGTCAAAACAAACAATCATTCAAATAAACGAAACCCTTTGACTTTTACCGGACAAACATTTTAACCAAAACTTAAGTATTACGACTTTGTTTGCCCACATATTCCGTAATTCTTCGAAAGAAGCAAATTCTAAAGAGAAGAATTCTCACCGGAAATTTTTGATTAACCAGTTGGAACGTTCTTGCTTTAATGCGTTTCTTAACCATACAGCGTGAGAAAATTGTAGCTGACCACAAAAAAAAGAGAAACCATTTTTCGCGCAGAAAATATGCTACGTTAGGAAATAATTACTTTTGGCTATGCATATATCGAGGTATCGAACACTCGGCGCCTCGATTAACTCTCAAATTCACGTTTACGTAACTTTCTGCATAAGCACGCTAAGCAAGAAAAATTTCTCAAAAGCATTGTAATCAGAACTTTGTTTTTAAAGTCGACTTGTTTAACCATTAGTAAAGAAAGAAAAAGAAACATCTGCAATCTGACCTTCTTTTGACAGTTGTATTATTGGTGACCCTATGAAAACCGCACAGAAAACAACAAAGCTACACAGACAAACACACGCATCTGATCTGAACAAGAGGAAAGAACAAAACTTAGGAGAAAGAAGACTCCGCTAAACAAATTTTCGTCTTTCAACTCTTTGTTTTCGAATTCAGTTCAAGCACTGGTTCAAAAATTGAATTGCTCTTTATAATTGCCGGACTCTGACAGGCTTCCATTCTGATTTAGCGTGACGTGACAGTGGGAACTTGACGTCACTCACTAAGGAACTGGAGCTCTAATATTCCGGAAAGTTTATCTGCTGGGCAAACATGGCGGACTACTCAGCACTGGCAGCTTCCGTGGGGCGGTTTTTTGCCATAGAACACCTTTTTCTAGGCTTTATTCTCGTCTGTTTTGGTATCGCAGACTATGTTATTCCTGATTTTTTCACAGGCAACCTATGTTTTGGAATTTGGACCGGTGTATGGGTGAGTTGTGGGTACAAGTAGCGACTTGTTTCATACGTCATTTAAATCAGTCGACATAACTGAACACTGGCTACGTACAGTGTAATTGACTAGTTATTTCAGATGTTTGTCTAAAATGACTCCTATTCTCACATTGTGTTCTGCCACGATATAATTTTCGGAATTGTGTTTAAAACGGTGGGATGATTTCAGAAATCGTAGAGTATGTTGAATTATGGAGTCAAATCGAAGACAAAATTAATATCCTTTGCTTGTGTCGTCGAGTCATACTACGTGGAGCTATCTTAATGGCGTGTTTAATGTCGCTTCTTGAGTCACTCCACATTTCGTGGCGTTGAAACGTAATTCGTGCCGTTGAAACGTACTTCGTGCCGCAGTAGTCACTGCCGGTGACCAATGGTAACCACGTTTTTAATCGTCCTGTTGTGTATCGTCTCTTTCTGTGAAAATTTCCTTTAGCACACTGAGTTCTCCTTCAACTAACGTTAATTCTTTTTTGAAGAACGTCATTTCTAATTTTACTCAAATGTTGGAAAGTGCACTGGTTTCGGTAATGACCGCAACGAAATTAATCATGCTTTGTACCAGGTGGATCAACTTCTGACGTTTTGCATTCAATGTCAAATCGTTTTAAAAGGCAGTGTGTTTGATGATGCTCTCGACCTCTTGATGGAGTCATACAGTTATCTGTGTTTGAAAAGTAGAAATAAGCAAAGTGCTGAATGTTCTCGAACCTTGCTATTAATACATTCTGGCGAAGTAAGACGACCAGCCTTTAATGTACCACGAGAGAATATTAATTTGTACTTCAGTTGAGGATTCTTGAAAAAAAGGCAGAAATGTTTTGCACAGGCAGGAAAACAAATAGTGAATGAATTCGACTGTTTCACATACGGTAGGGGGTACCAAAATTATAGTGATATTTCTAACGACTGTTTGGATGACTTTGTGAAGAAAACCTTGCAAAATTTTCCAAACTGTGGCATTCGCAGGATAATAGCTTTCTTACTAGGAATTCATTTCACCTGAGAACGTGCTTTACCATCTATTTCCGTTTCTTAAAGGTAAAAGGTACGTTGAAACAAGTAATGAATTGCACTTATATTGACTGCATCATGTATTTCCAGGATAACTTTGATAACCATTCTCTCAGATTTAAATCGAACATGACACCTGCTCAATTATGCCTGTATGGTGTAATTCAGTATCATTTTGACCAGATGTACCCGAAGGAGAAACATTATCCAATGGAATTGATTATCATGGCCCTCCACCTTGCGAATTACACCTGCTCAATGACACATGTATGGTGAAATTCAGTATCATTTTGACACAGATGTACCCGAAGGAGAAACATTATCCAATCGAATTGATTATCATGGTCCTCCACCTTGCGAATTAAAATATGCTGGGGTGGAAAGAGGGGACGATTGAAGTTCCAGAATGACCCCTGTCCATAGAGTCTTTTAATCTTTTTCCATCTCAAGTTATCTCACTTGATCAATCTGATTGTCATGAAATAGACCTTTACGTCAAAGCTGTAGAGATTATCCATGGTGTGGTTTTACAAAATTAAGGACAAGAATGGAATTCTGCTCACTGACAGGAGGGTCAGCCCTTTTTCAACAACCAGCGCCTATGAAAACCAAGAGCTCGAAAAATAATAATTACCAAACAAGGAAATAAAACAAATCTGGGAGATAAAATAATTTAAACAATAAATTAAACTATGCGTATACAATAATGAGGATTAAAAGTGGAATGAGTATGAATAAAAACAAATAAACTGCAAGAGAACAAATAAACAGTAACAATGTTATTAGTTTCATTAATAGTTCGCTCTTCAAGCCATTCTTGGAAGGGTCCAAGATCTATGTGGACTCTGAAACTGTTTAATTTCAACCATCAGGCCGATGAACAGTTATTTCCAGCTTACATGAAGAGATTTATGTTTGAATATCAATTTCATAACTTGAGTAATACTTAATATTTCATAATATATTATAAATATAATATAATATATTATAATATTATAAACTAATATTTATTATTAATTTATATAATATTATATAATATTATTATATTATTATTATATAATATTAATTAATTAATAATAATTAATAATTTATAATATTTCATAACTTGAGTAATACTTTAATACTTTAATTTGTTTCGAATGCTTCCATCAGTTGTATCTGATAAAAGGAAGCCTAGACTGTACCAAAACCAAAACACTTCCTTAGCATTGAGATACCAGTCACGGTTATTGATTACAGGCAGTTGATATAAAGTGCAAATGCTAGTGTAAGTAACAAGTTGAAGCAAGTGGCTGACATTTGCAATTTTCTGGACATCCATAAACAAAAGAGACCTTGACGGATGGGAGCTAAACGTTTTTCCTCATCAAATTTCCTTTCTTACTCATTCCGAATTTTTTTATCTAGGCAAATTAAGGGACTGTTCAGTCGACACGGAAATAATATCAAAAAGCTTTATCCTTCCCCTCTGCACATTAAATTTGATAAGCTTTTCTTAAATACTTCCATTTTCCCTCATCGCCTACTCCGGCTTGCTAATGCTGTTTGTTTGTCTCTAGATGGGTATCACGGGAATTTTGGGTGTTGCTGGTACTCGCAGGGAACGAACTAACTCCCGAGATATATTTGTGAGTTGACAAATCTTTTAATCTTCACTAAATTGTCTGTAACGGCCGCTTTAAAGATAAACATCCCTCTCGCATTCTCACTTTAGCAAATATTCCATGTTGCCACGCAATGAAATAACCGAAGACGTAACAATATGGCAACAAAATCGGTAACACACGTCTTCTGTGATATGTCACTGCACAGACTCGCGGGAACATGGAATCTATCTGTTACTGATGATTAAAAGATAAACCTTTGTTATAGTTGACGTCACTTGCGCTTCTGTCCTCCATTAGATCATAAGTGAGAGCTAGCCGAGCTTTGCATCATACAAAACCATGAATTATATGATTCATATTGTGGATATTTCCCCCTATATTTGGGTATTATTTTCACCCACCATCACCTAAACTCTTTTAGGTTTTTTTCCCGTGATTTTTCTTTGACCCCTAAGATCATATAAAAGTCCTTTTGTTGGTATGGACACGTCCATTCGAGTCCAAGTTCAGTTGGCGAGATTGACGTCAATCGAGTTTGTGTTTAGAACATCTAACAACTTCCCAACCTTAATTGCAATCGTGTTCTGTTAAATCTTAAATCATGAGACGAGACCGTTTTTCGGTAACAGTAACATCTCTCATTCAATTATAGGCCAGTGTCTTCATGGGCTTCTCCATCACCTCATCTGTGCTTAGTGGAATAATCATTATTTTCTACAGCATTGCAATTCACTCAAATTCTTACTACAGTTATTACAACTCCTACTATTCGATAGAAGAGGCTAAATATTCAATCACTGGCATCATTCTGTTCATTGGGATTTTAGAGTTTCTCATGGGAATCTTGGCGGCTATCTGTTGTTGCGCAATGAAGGTGTGCGCGTGTTGCTACAGTCACGCACAATCTCGACAGGTGAGCCTAATCAAAGGCCGGCTATTTGCAAGCAGTGGGCCTCAGAAATTCTCTATAGGAGGGTTAATTTAATTGAATTCGTGTCCTTTCAATATTGGCTTTCGACCCTCTTGACATTGTTCACAAAAAAACAGATGTTTAGATAAAAGGCTCGGCTAAATTGAAGATCACTTGATAACAACAATAGGCCAATTCCGAATTACCTTTTGCCTCTTTTTCAAAACGAGGCTTGGTACTCAACCATTAGTATGAAAATAAGTTTAATTTGCATGTGTATGAAAACTTACAATTATATGAAAGGATGAGCGCCAAGCCTTGCTCTCGAGAAGTGTAATTTTAAATCTGCGTAGATGGGAATCCTCTTCTTTCTTATTTGTAGACGTATGGACAAATGATGCAACCAACCATGACTTATGGGCCTGGTGGTCCTGTGGCAGTTCCAATGCAAAACCCTGTTGGTCTAGGTGCAGTGCAAACTGAGGCAAAGAAACCACAGCGAGGCCAGCCTAAAATGATCATGGTGCCTGCATCTGGAGCAATGGGAGGTCATTCACAGGTGATGTAGTTCCCTACATCTAGAGCCACGCCTACAGCTCCAGTGTCTCTGGAATTTGAGTTTGATTTAGAAAATATAGATATCTTTTTTTTTATTCTATATATATATTGTTAAATGATAAAATTACAATTATAGTTAATCTACAATATCGTAAGGGTTTTCTGTATTGGTGTTAGAAAGAAAAGGAATGGAAATATTATATTAGTTAAGGTCATTTAATGTAAATTATAAAAAGGGCAGGTTGATTACTTCGTACTCCTTCTTGGTGGTCTTGTCTTAAAGGTCGAGTTTGATCACGTTCTTCTTGTGAGTTTGGCCACGTTCACCTAGTGAGTTTAATCACGTTTTCTTCGTTGTGATCGTGAGGTTGACATGGAACTCGTGATAAGCCATGTTCTTAAATAAGTTAATTTGTTAGTCCAGGAAGAGTAAATCTCCCTGGTAATAGGTCGCGTTCGACACCTTCGTGTTCCCAGAGTTAATTTTAGGGTAAACAGGTGATACCCCTCATGTTTCGCAAGAATAAGCAATTTGGGGGTGGTACTTGTGAGCGCCTTTCTTCTTTAACTCTTGTGACCAAGATGTTGTTATGTAACAATCTTTAAAGGTGATTTTCTCTTAAGATACACTTTTAGGTATAAATAATACTCTACACCAAGGTTATTTGTAATTTTTATATTGTCGATCTCGTTTCTGTTCTGGCCGATCTCAACCGTAAAGATATGAAAATTAAGGAAGAAATTGATTTTGTAACGTAGACCACCCTAAGGTGCTTATTCAGTATGTGGGAACTATAATACGTAGTCAAACGTGATTCGCTAGTTGAGACGGTACGATGACGACACAAGAAGATTGACGGCTTCGAAATGTCATCCGCAGTGTCATCTTTATAAGCGGAGACTCTAGTTTTCCCTGTTTTATCGAAGCTAGTCCTTATTGTAACAACTTGAGAAGAAAAGTAAATAAAGAAGGATCAACCAAACCACAAACGAGTGTTAGAGAAATTAATTCTAACAATATGTATATAGTATAAATAAGCTATAAAATATTTCAAGATTAAAGAAAGTATATTTCTAAAATTTTATTACTTCAAACTAGGAGAATATAAACTGAGGATAGTCTCTTTTTCATATATACTGTGAATTAATGTGCAATCCTGTTGTTGCAAGAATTTTAAAGTCAAACACGCATAGTTAGATAAACCCACGGGTCTGGTGAGAAAGGGTAAATTACGTCCCCTCCCCCCCCCCCTTCCAAAGTTAATCAAAGTTAAATAACTTTCAAAGAGAGTTTAATGAGTTATTTACAATAAAACCTCTCTCTCCAGTTTCGACGACAAAATTAAACAAAAAAAAAGGAAAAAAATTGGTATTCCTTATAGAGAACCGCTAAGGGTACGACTTTGATCTTTTATGGTCTGCTTCTTACCGTCCGAACCTACGGTCATGATCTAGTGACCTTTTATGAAACGTGGCTGAAGGATGACGTTTATATCCCTGGATATATTAATGAATTTATAAAAGTGGAGATGAGATCAGAGGCGGAGGAGTAGGCGCGTGCATTAAGGAGTCGATTAAAAAGAAACAGCGCAAAGACATCTAGATGTCCTGACATAGGACATCTCTGACTAGAAATACAAGGCCGGAACAAGCACATCAACTAACTTATTTGGAAAATTTACAAATCTTGAATCGAGAGTAAAATGCTCAAGACTGGCTTGCACAAATTGAAATTCTATTTTCAGAACTTACCGACTCTTACAAGTACACCAGTGCTTGGATTTGCTAGGTACGCTTTATCCGACCCAGAATTTACAAAAAACCGGCGAGAGTAACGCCGACCAGACATTCACAAACTCTCACTAGTCTCAAATAATCCGAAACGCGTTACCCACATTTATGTACTACCGTGCGCAAACATTGGTGATTACGACGGCCCGTGCGCCTGCTTGAATATTTGCACTGAAAGGTTTGTTCAGCAGGGTAAGTTCATTCGCTCGTTGAGAACGCAACCTTTAACAACAGGAATGTATGCGAGACATCGGTCACATCATCTATGCAGTAGAAAATCCAGACAAAACATTGAAACTGCTCAAGAAACTTGTACCTGAATGTATGGAGGGCTTCGCATCCTTGAAACGTAGAGTGACTCGTCCTCCCTCACACAGGTTTAACACAGATGATATGTGCGATCTCCTGATCAAGAAAAACACGTTCAGGTAAGCACTGGCTGTAGAAGATTTTCTTCAAGGGGATTTCGGGTCCAGGGGGGGCTGGGAGGGGGGGGGGGCAGGGGAATTGAAGAGGTCTGGAACCAGGACACGACGTTCTCACAACTTGTAAAGCGATCAACACGCATGCTAGTCAACGGTATCTTCTATCTTTTCGAAGATAGGGAATGTTTTCTTCGTCAGATGAAGTGTATGATGTCAGCATCAATTGAAATCATATTCTATTGAGCGTGACTTATAATTTCTGTTTTGGAAAATGACACAGGTTGAACACAGATGGTATATGCGATCTCCAGATCAAGAAAAACACGCTCATAGGAACAATCACATAAAACTACTTAGATCAAGGCCATTCAAGAACATAGAATTATTTTCAAATAAACAGATAAAGTGAAAGTCAGGACGCAATGAAAATGGTCAGATTTTCCTAGCTTTTGCAGTTAGAAACTAAAGCTTAGACCCATGACTTAAGTGAAACGAAGTGCAATGTTTACACTCAATGCCATGATCAGAGCAGTGACGCAGTTTCATGTGCAACAAAAACAATGATGGAAATGATGACCTAAATATGTAGAAGGAGTAAACAGTGACTGAACATTAACTCCATGGTCATAATCTTCCACAAAAAAAGTCTCCTGCTCAGTGTCCATATCCTGTTTTAATTAATCACACACGACGAAAGTGAAAACCGTACAGGCTTGAATAAATTAAAACGGTAAATAGGTAATTAAATCCCCTTAACAGGAATGACAAAAAAAAAATGCACAGCGTGTTCATAAATACTGGGTTTATAGTGCTAAGCTTAAAATAAGAGCCGGGGCGAGGGACAGCGAAAAACAAGAACTGCTGGTGAGTTAAGAAAGAAACTAAATTCTGAGCGACTTACGCAGCAATATCATAACTCGAACACCTCGAATCTCCAAGGTAAGTTGATTTTTTTTTCATCATTTCACTTTTCGGTTCATTACTTCGAAGAAGTAGATTCTTTTTTGCCGTGATTAGGCGAAGAACTCGCCGTTGACTGAAAGCCGAAAGAGCAGATTTTACTGATTCTTACCAAATCTGTCATGTAGCGTATGTGATTTATAATTAAACACATTGGAACCACATGGGAAGCCATGATTGAATATAGATAAGTTATTGAAAGGTTTCACATATTGACATCAAACGAGGTATTTCTACTCAGCAAATTATATCGCAGTTCAGTGCACATGTTGGCCTTGTTAATTTTTTTCATATCCCTCATTTTCTCTCCGTATTTAATTTTCGTGACCGTCTCGATCTTCTCAAAAACCTTGGCGTGATAAATCATTGCGTGACTAGAATGTCTACATTACAATTGACAAGAGGCGATCACGATGGAGATAATTACAGTCCTGTTGTAAAGGGATTTTCTTCCTTATCAATATGTATACGATGCCCGTTTCATTCCGGCTGCAAAATGTCTGTAATGGAATCAATTTAATCATTTTAGCAAGATCCGTTTCTGATCGATTCATTAAAAATAAAACAAATATTTCGTGACATACTGTCAAACGCTTATTCTTAGTTGATGACGTTGTCAAAAAGCACTCATCAAAACATCGTCTGCGTATCAAAATGGCGGACCAAACGGCGAAGGTTGCTGTTATGGGAAGGTATCTCGCCATCACCCACATTATTGTCGGCGTTCTACTCTTCTGCTTTGGCATCGCAGATTACGTAACTCAGCATTTTTGGACAGGTTACGTGTGTTTTGGGATTTGGATCGGTATTTGGGTAAGTTTCTTCGCGACGCTTCAGTCGTCTCGTTTTTACATCACAGGCTTTATTTATTACATATAGCCGGTATTATATTCGTACAAGATGGTATTATATTCGTGTAGAATGATAAAAGATGCTGCCACCTTATTTTCATGTGATACTGAAATATCGTTTCAACCGCTTCGAAAAAGAAATTTGAGCGACCGACGTTATATTATTGAGTTTAAAACTCACTTGTACGGGCTGTCAATATTTTGAAGTATTTGTCATCTGGAACAAGAAACTAAAATCTGCAGCTGCAAAACTCTTCACCTTGGAAGAGAGTAAATATCGCATTATCTAAAGCTTACATTGTGAATTTGAGATAATTCGTATGACTCTATCGTGAAGTTTGTCAGAAATACAAGCCTGGTCGAAATACAATTTCGTTACGAATGAGTGGAGCTACTATATGCAAATTTGCCACATTTATATGCAAATTTCCAAAATTTGTCCGCTCTTCTCTGAGGTATTCGTGATTTTCCTTCTAATTTTTTTTCCGCTTTTTTTTTTTCCATAGCCATGGCAGTTTGTGCTTTTATTGAATATCAAATTATTGTTGATTCCTTCCGTGCATAAAAAAAAATCTCGATTATGATGATAATAATGTTATTTTGTTATTCAAAATATTTCCATTATTTCCATCAAGACAGGTTAAGACAGTGCTTGGGCATCTGTTCAAAGCTCATTATTGAGTCGATGGTTTCTTCATTTAAGTAAAGTTTGGGTTGCCTGACAACAGTGGAAATTTGCTTTAATTTTGTAATTGCCTCAAAATGAGATAGGGTGCAACAATTTTACCACTATTCGGATATTTTAGTGGTACGTTTTCTTTAGCGGCAAGCTGTAATAGTCGGCGACATCTGCTTTCTTGAAGCATTAAATGAATGACTTTTTTGCAAGACTGCGTGATGAGTGGCATGTGGACAGGAAAATGACTGCAGTGGAAACCTTGATTTTCTGGACCTTGATTATCCAGACTTTTTCTCTTGTCCCAATTTTTTCATGAATATCAATTAGTTATGATCATGATCTATAGCCATATTCTTTTAAAAACTACAGCGTTGAAAAGAGAAGAAAAGGCGAGTTTGTTTTGCTTTCAAAAAGCAAAAGCAGCACTCGTATGCGTTGTAACTAATGCAGAACATTAGAATGAGTTCTGATTGGCTTAGATTTTCTTTGTTTCTAAGTGAGATTTCACACTCTATTCCGGCTCGTTCAGCATCAATCTTGAGCTCAGGGTTATTTTGGCTCCTTGTCAGCAGTATGGTCGCCAAATAATGACCTCTGGGAGAATTGATTAGTAAAATTTTTTTGATTGGTTGATAGGAAAACAATAGACTCCACACAGGAAGTGTGATTTACAGAAGGGCCAGAAGTAGAGCATTAACAACCATAAATTTGAATTGTTTTTACTGTTGTTACTATTGCTGCTTAATTTTTTTTGTGTGTGAAAGTTTTCACTTGTAAACTGCCATTTGATGTGTGAGGAAACATCCAGCTAAAGCCACTGCGTGCTGCAATGGTGGGAAGCTGTTCCTCTTCTTCATTGTTGTCAAAGATGTAGAAATAATCATGATATTAATTTTTTTTTACGTGAAAAGCAGAAAAGAAGGAATTTTTGAGGTCATGCAAGTGTACAGAAATGTACTAAGTGTAAAAGAGTTTGACATGTTAAATGAACTTGTGAAACATGAAATCCTCTTTTTCCATCACCTACACTTTCACACTAATTTAACCAAGCAATCAACAGGGATTGAAATACTTGAGAAGGGTGGCCAAAGAAATCCAGAAGTCCTTTAGTATTAAGGTGTTACATGATGCTACATATACAATTACAGCTGGTTTGCATTTTGATAAGCATTTTTTTTCTCAGTTACAATATACATGTTTGTCATTAAAAATTCCATGTCAATATATTTTTATCCAATTTACTATGATCAGAAACATTCAACAGAGTTTAATTCATACAAAATGAAAATATTTATCAAAATATGGAGAGTTCTGTTTATATTTAGTTGACAGATCATGCAAATACTGTCAAAGCATGTGCCAAATATCAATTTCTAGACAAGATTGATGAACAGTGCAGAAGCCTATTTGTATAGAAAACTGGAACTGCTGGTTTTTATGTCTTTCATGTAACAAGAAATAGGACTTAATCCTCCCTTGAAGATTTCAGCTGCAGTAGCTTATTAAAGAAATGATAGGTTGAGCTCCTGACTTGCTTGATTTCATGGCCACTGTGAGTGTTCTGTTGTACAGGAAGATGGAAGTCAAGCACTTCCAGTGTGTGTGATTAATGGTTATCCGATGAATACCCAATGCTGGGAGCAGAAACTTGTCCAAAAACTGGGCCCCTCGGTTTTCCTTTTTTTTTTTTTCTTTCCCAGACTTGCTTCTTTATTTAAAAAAAATTCGCGAAAACTGAAACGAGCGTCGGTAGCCGTAAAATGGCGGAAATCAGTGCCCTGAGTAGGGGCAATTAAACTTTGCACATGAAAAGTGCAAAAGAAGGCAAGGTCGAACCAAATTTGGTAAATTTGTATCGGAAGGATTGAGGGATGGTTTAAGTCTACAACGGGACCATTTCATGTAAATTGGAGCTCACGGAACGCTTTTGAAAATCAACATTTCAAAATAGAAATATCGCATTTCGCAGCAACTTTTCAATTAACATTTTCCCTATGCGGTATAACTCAGAATTGGCTCAGGTTAAGCTTATGATAAGTGGATAAAGTGTTGTCTCCGAGGATACAAAAATTAGTTTAGGGCTGTTCATTTCCGCACGGACAAACCAGGCTGAAACTTTGTGAAAATCGCAATATCGTCATTTACGTCACGACATTATTTAAATAGGCACCGAAATGTTAAATGGAATTCCAAGAAAATTTTAGTAGTAAGCACCGTGTTCGACCAGGAAATCGATACCGTGAGCTAACCTTGCATCGCCTAGGACGGCAGATAGGTTTTTGTCCCTGCTTCCGTTTCAGATCCTCGTCATTTCCCATGATACGGCGAAATTGTTTACAACAACACATTCCATAGGTTACCGGCAGGCGTCCGTTTTTCTTCGCATATTCGAACACATTTAAGTGTTAAGAAAGTTTTGGGATAAAATCGAACTTTATTGTGTACTTGAAAGAGGACAATTCTATTATTTATACCCGGGTAGGTCACCGTTTTTGCCGAAGAACTTGTTGCTTCTAAAGATCGAATTTAACTACCAACAAACTTCATCCCAATCAAGGCATTGCAAAACATCGATTTACTTTTTAAATAGAGACACGTCGTTGACTGGCTTTACATATCAACCCGTTCTAACTTTGATTTCTGATTTTGGAGAGTAAGTAAAAAGAATAAACACTAGGTGGAATTCACTTTCACCGTCCTTTCCTCGCCATGATTGTCGCAAGCCTTGCCCTCGAGTGAGCGTAGAAACGAAGGATCAGTGAACAGTGATTTTGCGGGACTTGGGCTCCGCCAGTTATCCTTGATCATTGACTTATTAATGGATTTCAGAGAGCCGTTTTCTCGCAGTCTAGTCAACGAAGGTAGTTAACTTTAATTTATTGAAAAAGAAAAATGACAAAGTCTTAGAAGAACGCGAGATACGGCTGAATTGAAAGAATGTTTCAAGGTTACCCCTACCGACGAGCGGAAGGTGTTAAAGGGGAATTCTGTCACATTTCGCAAAACGTTAAGAAATAAGATTATCTATTAGACAGCCAAAAGGAGAATGGTCGCGGCTTAACCGCATTGACGCGCACTTAAATGAGTTTCGAAACTGTGAATTTCTTTGGAAGCCGAAAACTCGAGGGTTGTTTTTACGCGAGTTACCTGTACTTAAACGAACTAATAGGGTATGTAGATTTGTTGCGGTAACGTGGAGGCTTAGAATTCAGTTAAGCAAACACCGTCAGTTTTGTGTTTAGAGGCTCGCGCGCGCCTATGAAAACAAAAACTGTGAAAAATTATGTTATTTTCATAATCTACATCTTATAAGCTTTACAGTATTGTATACTTTTCTATGGTTTCTTTAAAAGTGGCACGCGTAGGATGGTTTTTCTGGAAGGCACACTTTCATGACAGTTATCTTTGTGGTGCAATTCAAAGACTATGTTCTTTTCCTTTCAGATGTGCATCACTGGTGGTCTGGGTATCCCTGGTACCCAAAAAGATCCAAGTTCTTCTCGCAATGTTTTTGTAAGTTGATTTTTTCATGCGTCAACAACACAAATCGTAGTAGCCCTAGGAAGGGTGCAGAAAGGTTTGCAATGGTCTGTTGACACACTATTCTTGTTAATCGTAATAAAGTTCAAATTCATCGGAAAATCTTTTAAAGACATATTTCGGCATAACCCACGCCATCTTCAGTTCATTTTTTTTGTTGTTTTCGTTGACTTTATTTATAAACGTTACATATATAATACGCTATCAGTTTAAATCCAATCACAACATTTGAAATTAGTGCCGTTACAATTGTTGAAGCGGACACTCACGCGTGCAAATGTAACAAGATATTTACAATATTATGTTGCATTTGTGCATTCAGCTCGGGTTGCACGCTGTCAGTGTGAAATATATCCCGAAAATATAGGCAATGATAATCTGAATAACTATTCTTCTTGTTGCTGTTTTTGTTGTCGCTGTTGCTGTTGTTGTTGTTGTTTTTGTTGTTGTTCTCCTTCCTCTTTATCTCCTTCTTGTTTGTTGTTGTTGTTGGAGTTATTGTTCTTCATAATAACGTTTTTATTTTTCTACCAAAATTTCAGGCATCTATCTTCATGGGTTTTTCAATTACCTCAGCTGTTCTGGGTGGAATCATCATCATCTGCTATAGCATTGCCATTGCTATATATAGCGACTACTTCTACTACGCACGATACAGTTATAACACTGATATGGCACTCGCTGTAATAACTTTGATTCTTGGTATTGTGGAATTTGCCATTGGAATCTGGGCCGCCGTATGCTGCTGTATGATGCAAATTTGTTGCTGTGGAGCCCCACCGCAACAAGTGAGAATCTTAAGTTTGGTCAAACATATATTAGCTATGCAAAACTTTGAAAGGGCATATCATTCAATTTTCAACGAGTATATCTTTCGCGGTACATACAAGAGTCTTTGAAATTTACATCATAGCATGTCACAGTCATGCAGTGCTCACCAGAATGAGTGTGACAACAGCAAAAAGAAATCTGAGTGGTTTTTGAGTGGATGTTTTCGTTTTTTTTTATTCTCTTCACACTCATTAGTTTTAATTCATAGCACCGAATACATTAAATTAAGTCGTTTGGTGGAACGCTCGAAGGATACTAATTATGTCCTTGCGCACTGTGGAAAGGTTCGGTTCAATAGGATCTTCTAGACATCGGCTTTCTGATTGGTCATATTTTCGGTGACATGATGTAAATAAGTTTGCATACCCGTACACAGCGCTAGCATCTGAGTATATATACACATTTTCCCTCACTGAAAATGAGAAATTTTGAATAACAGTGGTCCTCTTAGAAGTTGGAAAAGTTGCTTGGTTCCTCCAATGATTAATGTATATCCTCCTTCCCTTCTTTCCCACGCTCATTAACATCTGATTGGCTACCCAAACCTGAGTATCCTTTGCTTTTTAACTCCGATCATTTAAGCCTGAAAATGTTGTGATCGCTGCGGGAATAAATGAGTTAGAATCATATCCTTGTCCTATATTATCTTCCTGTTTTAGTATTTACTAAATCAACTATTTACCTCAGTGTCGGTGAGTTATGGTTAATGGACAAATTACCCATTACAAATGTAGATGTCTAACTAAACGCATTCGTTTGTGGTTGGTATAGCTTTTAAAATCAACGTAGCCAATCCCCCCTCTCTCTTCCCTCAAGGGTCAAGTTATGTACACAGCCAACACTGGATATGCTGTCGCCCAGGTGTCTGGAGGTCATGTGGCCGTTCCAATGCAAACAGCGGGTGGTATGGTCGCGGTTCAAACGGTTTCACAAGGAGGCCAACCTCAGATGGTCATGATGCCAGCCTCTGGGGTCGTGGGAGGTCAGCCGCAGTTTGTCCAAGTCCCTGCGTCTGGAGCCACAGTGGGAACTCAGCCTCACTTTGTTCAAGTTGCTTCACCCGGAGCTGCAGCACCCGGTTACCAACCGCAGCAAGTGGATGTTCCTCCGTCCTATGGGCAGGGACAGTACATGCCGCTTCAAGATGAACAGGTATGGAAAAAAAAGAAGAGAAGGGACCAACATGTAGGTGGAGGTAGTCAGAATTGTAAGGTGACAAACATTGCTATATGGAATGGTAATAGTAACAGGTGAAGTCCAATTCGGTCTGTAATCAAACGAGTGATTAACAAAATCGGATGACTGCGAAGCGGGAGTCCGATTTGTCAATTACTAGTATGATTATTGACAGAATTGGACGATACGAAGTCCTGTTACCAGTTAATCATAGCGACTACAGTTTCCGAAAAATAGAAAAAAAAAAACAAATACGTTTAAGACAAACATCTCCGGATGGGATAATGTCTAAAATAAAAAATTTGGAAAATTATCCAGTTTTTTTTTCAGGGTGAGTTGTTGTTGCTATAGTTATTGTGATCAATTTTGTGATTTGGTGGATTTAGCTAATTGGACTTAGTATGATTGGCTGCTTCAACTGTCTGATTACAGGTGTCCGATTACAGCCAACTGTATGATTACACTGTCCGATTACAACTATCATGACCGTCACAGATATCATCATCATCCTCGTTTATTTCAAAATTACCATTAAAAAATGTCACTTGCATTATGTGTAGCTTTGTCTACCAAGTTGTCGCAGCCATGTGGGTGCTCTATATTCAGCGAAAAAGCTTTCATTCTGAGAAAAAAAGAAAAAAAATGTCCCGTTTCTCTTGTAGATCCCAGTGAAGACTTGATCTGTGTTACGAGTACCGAGGAAACCTGCTGTTTGTTTTGACTAAACTGATTTTAGTATAAAGCTTCACCAGGCGGTGTGCGCATTCTGATTGCGTGGCATCATGGTCGTAAAAGAAAAAGTAAGTCACATGCATCTTGTTGCGGTCGGGTGAACATCTTTGATGGCAGCGAGAGTGGCGTGAATATAGTTTGAATATAATGGGGATTCACCGCTTGTTGCCGTTAAGTCGTTAAAAAGTGTTGACGGGCCTGCGCGACTCCTGTTATTCCACAGCGACGAATTCGTCCTTACGAGGCAACTGACAAGATTCAGAAAAAGAATCGAAATTGCAGAAATGGCAGCAGTTGCACTTACAGCCGAGAAACTTATCTCTGGAGCTATTTTCGAAGAGAGAGAAAGTACGCTTAATAACAAAAATAAATTACACAGAAGAAAATATTGCCTTTTGTAACACAATCTCATCCGGCTTTACCAAACTCAAGGAACTCACAAATGGGGAAATGACACCTTTAAACTAACCCTATTATGACATTGCAAAGGAATTATGCCGATGAGAGCTGAAATTTGAAGGAAGCAGAGTTAAAAGCGCCACCAGCGATTGGTAGGAGTCGTTCAGGCCCGTCAACACCTTTCTTAAACGGTCGACTTTCTTTTGCTTTCCGGCCTACGTACATAAAATAATTCTACACATTCAAAATAAATCAAAATTCATTTACCCATGATGAAAGGAAAAAGGAACACCCTAATTTTTACGGAATGTTCAGTCAAAATCTATCGATTTCTGGCACTTTCACCACCGTATTGAAAATAACGCTACTACAGTGCAACGTAATCAGAGTGCGCGCACCGCCTGAAGCTTCACGAATCAGCCTTATGTATGTCGAAATATACTCAAGTACTCAAAAGATCAGCAGATGTTGCTTAAAAATAAACTGCTAAAACAGTGGAAAGCCTACTCGCTTGTGTTTGCTGGTGTGTATACAGTAGAGCTATGAATAAAGTTTCATGTAGGAACCACGAAACGTCGCCATATTTGCTGTCTATTTGCAAAGTGTAGAACGGGTATAGATAACTAGTATTCAGTTTGACAAGTACATGATGTAAACGATGGTGGTCTTGAATTTGATCAATTTAACAACAAACCCTTTTTCGATAAAATCTGCTGGAAGTTAATTCTATGATGGGGGTCTCCATGGGGTTAACCGCAAGCCGTAAAACTGCCAAAAAAAAAAAATTGGTCGTCAGGCGTAAAAATTGACAAATTTCAACCGTTAGTCGGTTGGGAAAAAAAAAATTAACTGTTTGTCGTGAAATGGCCAAAATTTTCGCCGTTAACAGTAACAGCCATCACCCAATTTTAGTGACTCTCTGTGAAATACGCCTGTATTAAGTTATTTCAATTTTTTTTTTCAATTTTGCGTTCTTTTTTTAATTTTTCTCTCTGTTCCTTCCAATAAGTTTTGGAATGTGACAAGGTTTGATTAACACATTGAAATTCCAAAAAATAAAATCCGCTATTTTTTTTTCAACGCTAGTAAAATTTGCCTTTATAACGTTACGAAATAAATCACTAATGAATATTTGAATGAATGAAGACCGAAACTTCTGAAAGTTGCATTAACTTCATAGAAAAGTAAAGAATTTAAATCGACAGATTTACCCTCTAATTCCCTTGAAATTCCTAAGATCTCATTAGTAATTCTCCTTACTGTCTGCCATAAAGTACTTATGTTGTTGGTTTGGAGAATTTGGTGTTGGATCAACTTATAAACCCTTAACTAATATTTTTCTTTATTCTCATCACTTGTCTGCTTGATGTTGTATTGATATTGTAAGGAGAAATTCTGTCTTGGTCACTCATGGGAGTTAAAGGATTAAGAAAAACTCAGGTGAAAAGGTCGTATCCTTGAGCTAAAAAATATTATTCGCGTTTGCCTTCAATAAGTTCGCATATATTTAAAACGATTATTCCAAAACTCTAAAACTAAAACAATTTTTTCAAGTGTGTTAAGAAACCTGTCGTAAAAAAAGAATAAGGTTCTCAAGCTGAGATTCTGACGTTTTACTCTTAAAACTCATTGTATTCTGTTATTTTTGTTGTGTGTGAGCGATGCAGATGAGTGTGTGGTGTGGAAAAGTTCAAAAAAGAATAAATTTTTCACAAGGGTTCATGTTACCCGACGTCCCCATTCGACTTAAAACTTCCAAATTTTGGACTATTCAATCAATCAACGTACTGCATTAACGAAGATAAAATGGCCTTCCACAGGCCAAATAAATAGGAAAACACCAAACACATCAGTCTGTTGATATGTTTGTATTCAGTTAGTTTGCAATTGTGGAATTGTTAAGGGTGATTAAACCTCCGCCTCGGAGTTAAATTGTTTTCCTTCTCCGATAGAATTTCTTTAGCAAATACAAGCCGAGGAAGGTTACTAAGACAACACTATATGAAGCCCTGGGAGACGCGAGAGGCTATTTTCCTCTAACACCGCAATTTTGGTTTTAAACGATCTGGAGCCCCAACTACATTTTTGCGTTGTTTTTAGAAAACGATTTTTTTTTGCGTTAATCTTTGTGATTCAGTGTTAGACGTCTTGTTAGACATGGGTTCACGTTTCGCAACAAATCTGCTTGATTCAGAACCTCAGATATCTTCCTTTCTTTTGATTGGCCGTGGTGACGCGTTTGTTTCCGGTTTTACGATGCTCAGTCGCAGAGCGCTCTAATCCTTGCCAAAAATATATATAAATGAAAAAGAAGAAAAATAGAGAGAAACAAGCGAAACAGCCAAAGCAAACACAAAGCTAAATTAACAGATCGAAGTGGATGGTCTCTTCATTTCGCGACGGAAACGCGTCGCGCTAACATATTATATTGGTGAGGCGTGAGTGGCCCAGTGGTCAGAGCGCTGGACTCTGGGTCGGATGGCCCGGGTTCGAGTCCTGGATGGGGCACTACGTTGTGGCCTTAAAAAAGCTTCGTCTTCTCGGATAAGACGTTAATTTCCCAGGGTTTGGGGTGACGTTAATTTCCCACGCACGAGATTACTGTGTGATGGATGTCCTCCCCTGGGTTGGGTTGGGTTGGGTGGGTTTGTAACTTGTAAGGCGATATTTGCGCCGAATAAATTAAGGATGATGATTATTCGTCCCACCGAAGAAGAATGGAAGAATGGAAGAATTAAAGCATGCATCTGTGATTAAAATTCATCAAGAAAAAGGATTTATATGTCTGCGGGGCACGAAGTGTAAATATCATCAAATTGCAATCCGGGAAAAATATTAAAGTATAAAGTTTTTGTTAAAGTCACAAACAATTAAGATTTCCATGTAGTAGAGACTAAAGGTCGTAGACCATTGAAACTCGGCTCTACAATTACAGTTCTTTTATAAAACATACCTATTGATTACCAAACAAATGAACTCCAGGCGAGTTATTCTTTACGCTTTTGTTTAGCTTTGTCTATTGAGGCGTCACAGCTACTGAAGCGCTCTCTATTCAAAGGGAAAGCTGAAATTCAAGTGCAGAAATGATCCACGCAGGTTCAACTCAAATTTAAGCAATTGTAGAGAAGAAGCCTCTAAAACGTTCAGGCCTCTAATGGATTCGTGCCTATCAACTGCTTGCTGGGCGCCATTACCAGCTGTGCTCCGAAACCACACGTTGCGAGCAGGGCAATTCTGGTTGCGGGTTCTTCTTTGCTGTAGTGAGCACTAGATTTAAACTAGAACTCAATACTTCTTTATTTTTTCGATAACGTTCGTTAAGTTTGCCTCCTTGATGAGGTTGCAAGGTTAATCGCTAATGAATAACTTACTGAATTAAAAAGGAAACTCTTAAACTTGCGCTAACTTCGCAGACCGAAAACAAATAAACGAATAAAGGGGGTAAGTTTCTAAGGAAACTGTGGTGCTTCGTCGGTGGGACAGTATAACAGGGTAATTTAGAAATGTCAGTCTTTTATAGTGTCAACAACTGAATTGAAAACGTAAATTGGCCACCGTAAAGAGTTTAAAGGCTGCTTCAAGCGTTAACCCTTCGTCAGAGCGAAGGCGAAGGGCTAACTCTTAAAACGTCGGCTTTTAAACTCTGACGAGGGGCTAACGCTCGAAACATCAGCCTTTAAACTCTTTAAGGTGGCCAATTTACTTTTTTTTATTTTTCGTCGCTCTCTTGTTTCATTGGATGATCGTTTCAGGAAAATTTATTGTTGCAAAATTTATTTATCAACAAGCACATTTTATGCACAAAGGACGTGGGAGGAAACAAGTAAATAGGAAACTGAATAAAAATTATTAGAGGATAAATCTCCTTTTGTCTCGGCGACCTTTGATTAATAATACATAGCAATAGGGATAAAACTTTGGCGCATAGCACGCAAAGATCATGACAGGGCGAGAGATGGGCAACTGATGGTTGCTGCATTTATCTAATGGTGATGAACATATTTCCTGACAAGATCCTGAAGATGAAGCGCCGTTGCTGCCCAGTGTTTTCTTTCAGATCTTTCCTCTTTTTGTTTGGAGGCTGGTTCTACACCGTGACGGTAGCGAACCAAGGTGAGTTAACTTTAACATTGCTTTGCCAAGCTTTTATATAAATTTACTCCTAAAGTCAGGCGAGTCCGTAATTAACGGAAGCTAAGTCGAATTGACAAGCCAAGCCCAAAAATAATGTATTTTGTGGATTTGGATAGCTTATTCCATCACATAAGGTGATAGGGCTCTGAATTAAAAACTGATGTGACCATTTCTAAGAAACTTGAGAACGACGAAATATGATATTTTGTTTGCAAGTATAGCTTATTCTATTTGATCAAATATAATTAACCACGGCTTTATAGGGAGCTAAACAAGTTTGGAAATTTTCAAGACGAGTCGCAACAAACTCGGTCGTGTGCGGAACATAAATCAATATATTTTGATGAGACTTTTTGGTGACGTAAACTCTAATTTTTGATGAAAATTTATTCAGATCATTCCTATCATTAAACAAACAATGAATGCGTACTAAAAGCAACATTTCAATGAAAACAGAAACACCGTTTTGCTGGTTGTTAGCAACGATCTAATTGATCGAGAGTTTGAGGAGTAACGCTGATAAATGATTCAGCAGAAGGATTAAAACACGCTCAGACCAGTGAAACATAAGGAAAAATGTCGACAAGTGGAATGTTATTAGAAATTAAAGGTTTTTCGTTTGTCAAGAATTTTCTTGAAGTCTCTGAAGCCATTGTATTTGTAAAAAACGAGTCATGATGCTTTTGTACACAATGGTTATTCAAACTCTGAGAAACACTGTATGTTGTCGAATATTTCAAATGCAGGTGCTTCACGAGTGTTTCACTTCGTCTTGGTCTTGAAATGATAGACTATTCGTTCGAAGCATCTTCTAAGGGACAGACGAAGGTATCTGTAAAAAGAAATGCACCATAGGTGTTTTGGAATTCAGATAAATGCTGAGGCTAAAACGCCTCAATTGTTCAGTAAAATTGTTTATGACTACCGCAAATAGGGAAAAGCGGTCAATAAGTTCTCTATCCTTTTCCACTCGACTCTTTAACTTTCATCATTACGATAGTATAAAAACTTTTTTTAGTGGTGGAATGATCGCATTGACTAGCGTCAAAATGAGGTGCGAAAACAGTGAATTACTTTGGAAGCCAAAAACTCGAAGTTTGTCTTCGCGTGTTATCTCTACTGACCTAAACAAATTGATTTGGTGTGTAGATTTTCCGGATTTCCATGAAATTGGCCAGAACGTTTGTCAGATATTAATGCACCAAAGTAAGTTAGGCGTAAAGAAATTCAAAATATTACTCTAGTGATGTCCGGAGCGTGACAACAACCGCAATATTTTCTATTGTCCAGCTTCATGTTCCTTCAGTTTTTCACCAACGCTCAACTTTTAGCAATAACTGCAAGTTAGGTAATAGATGATGTTGGCGGAGGTGCACGTGAACTGATCAGTGATCTCAAGAAATTGCTTGGGTCCCGATATTTCTCGACGTTATGAATAAAAGAACAAGTTTTGCATAGTGTGCGAGCGCGTTTGAAAGTTCCGGGTTGGTCATTACTTTGTACTAAACTTCCGTCCAAAATGTTGCCGATATTTTTTTCGCGTTTGAGTAAAAGTAATGGAGGTTGCCAAGAAAAACGACTGTGCGACGGATTCCGAGAACACCGCTGCGACGAAACCCTTTACGGTGGCCAATTTACATTATAAACTCAGTTGTTAAAACACAATGACCTTGTTACACTCCCCGCAGACGTAACACCACAGTTTCTTTAGAAACTTACCCCTCATTTATACAAATTAAATAACATGGCCTATAAGTAGTTCTCTAAGTCGGGTGAGGTTCTCTAACATCCTCTGAGTGCCAAAAATTGAAAAAATAATTCAATAGAACGGCGATATCCCAACCAAAGACTGACGAAAGGCGATGCACACTCCAAGCTTTTGGCAGATAGATTCTAGATTCTAAATCGACTAAATTTTCAGCCCATCCAGTTGATGTCCATAGAAATTCTCAAACAGTCTCCAAGATCACTCGATTTTCCTTAAATCTCTTTAGGTTTTACTCAGTTACGGTTAACTCTATTAGCATATTTTAGAGAGCCGTTTTGCACACTTATGATCCACTACTGTCTTTTTTATAGATAGCTGTCGGCGAGTCAAGTTCATGAAAAAAAAGGATGGATATGCATTGGTGAATCATATTTTAAAAAATATTTCATTACCTGTCGGAATGCACACGTATAGTAACTGCAAGAATAGGTGTATGATGGAAGACAGATGTAAATCAATCAACATGGGACCAGAAGATAAAGATAAAGTTTTGTGTCAGATAAGTGACTCAGACCACGTTCAACACCCAAGTGATTTGAAACCGACAGACGGCTTTACGTATAGGGGCATGGAGGTAAGAACTAGAAATTCGGTTTTGAGTTTGCAGATTTTATTTCCTCTTTTGTAAATCCTCGCAGAAAGACTCACAGAATCGCAACGTCTTTTCTGAATGGAACTTGAGAATAAAAATCGTTGAAATAAAATAAAAAAAAAGAGGAAAATATGAATGGCTGCCCCGAATGAATCGACGACATAGATTGCTTTCGATTCCCGCGCACCTGCGATAAGTTCTTTGCGATCTTGTAATGAATGACCTAATGGGTCTCAACAATTAGCACCTTTTTTTGAGTTGATCAAAGCGGAAAATCAAAGAACCTAGAAATATTAAAACATCAATGGCTCTATGTCTCTTTCAGTTTCGCAGTGTAATGACGAAGAAGGGATGAGTTGTGTTATGTGGCAGTCTGGGTCCTTTCCAATCAGTTAGCGTTATGTGGGCCCATTATATAACGTAATTTGAAAATTACACATAATTCTGACATTTTAGCGGCCCTAAAACGTCTGCCGTTTTAGGGCTTCACGTAATTGCATAATTAGCGGAAATGAAGTCACCGAAAGATCGAATGATTTTCTCAGGGGTTTGCTTACATCTTTATTTTGCGCTCTTTTTATTGATTCTTCTATAACACTTGGATGATTTGAACGTTGGTTCATTTCGGCATAATGTTGCATCGTATGCTTTCTTTAATTTTTTTCGTGTCGCAGTTTGTAGGGCCTTTTTGACACCGTATTTGGCTGCTCCTGACACGCTTCCGGCTACTTTTTTCTTTTTTTTCGCCGGATATGAGAGCTGGAATAAGAGCTCCTGAAAGGAAAGTACTTTTTTACGTCGATTGGTTTGTTTTTTCGTCGTAATTTTCTTGATGTAGAAAAGGGAATCAAATGGTATGAAATAAAGTTAGATAGGGGATCCTTGTTACAAGTGAGACGCGTACTCTTCCTAGTGGAGATCACCCATGATGTTACTGTTTTACAATGGACAAACTAAAGTTTCCTCTCGTGTAGAATTAAATATACTACAAGTTCTTGATGTGCAATAATACAATACGATCTAATAGTTCAGAACGAAATATTCCAAATCATTCGAGTTCTATCCACAGACATGTATTTAAAATTTTTGGATAAGTAGCAAAAAATACGTCAATTGCAGAAATTGTCATTCGAAATTGATTTTCGTGTCTTCATCAAGACAGTTACGGTTCCAAATTAGGATTCAAGAGCGGATTGAAAAAAAGATTGAAAAATGAATTGAAAAACAAACGGCCAAAGAGATTAAAGTGTTTTTCGGTGCAGAATAAATCGTATCGGACCCGTGTATTCCAGAAATGTATCTTTAGTGCGTTCGAGAAGAGGCGGAAGTTGGTAGGCAAAAGAGTGGAGCTTTCCCTTTGATAAAGATGGCCGGAAGCGCTTTGACGGAAGCAGTCGAGAAGAAGAAACGTCGACGCAAATCTCAAAAGGGAGGAAGACTCTTCTCGTCGTCACCTGTCGTACCTGGCTTTTAACACGACTTGATAAACTGGTTGACTCAGAAAAGTATGAAAAGAATTAGTAAAACTAAAAGAAACAGAGAATTAAAATGAGAGAAGTGAATACAGCTTAGGGTTCTGAATCTGCAATGAATAGGACGTTGGCGTCTTCTTTCTTTTTCTGCCGGTTGAAAGTAACACTTGTGACATCTTATGTTGACATATTCTTTACAGACTTGACATTTGGCCACTCCTCATCGATATTTGGCGAGTAGGGATCTTCGGTCTCCCCTATTTGATTTTACGACTTTCCTAAGAGATTCGGGACAATTTTTGAACGTTTTGCAAATAGATTTCAGGCAAGGATTGGGACCAGTCCGATGGTACTGACAACAATCTTCTCCGTAAAACGAACGCAGAAATATACAGCACATTTACAAAGAAGTGTCATTTCGACGATGCTCAGAACAATTCCGGCGATGAAACGATACACATTTCTTTCCTTTGCAAGTATGATGTTCATAATCATCTCTATTAAATCCACAATCGCATTCGTGACAATGAGAATATTTGCTCAAGATCCTCCTAGCGATGCGCAACCATGATCGTGATGTCCATCTACTCGCACTGGTTCAATCTTTTCAAGGACCCTTGAAAATAATCATTTGAGGTTTATCCAACGACACCACCTGAATCTGGTACTTGTGACCCAATGCTTTTTAAAACTTTTCCAATTCCCTTACACCACAGGAGCATTCTTCCACACCTGCCAATCGATGTAATCACGTTTCGTTATATGATTAGTCCATTTGCGCCATCTGATTTGTTAGGACCCAGAGTGCCACACAACTCTACTGGGATGTTGTAAGATCTTTTTATAACGCCAGAAAAATTTTCCATGTCGTATCTGAGACCAGTAGAGTACAATTTTTTGTACTCTTTTTTGTGTTCTCATAATATCTCAAGAGAGTTATTATCAATCCGAGCGTGTATAGCATCTCAGTCAATTCATGAAAAATAAAGCAAAATCATATTAAAGTTCACATGGCAACCGGGTGGACAATCAGACATAGTTTGATGCCACTCTAGTTTAAAGATTTAATGAAGGTAACCGAGAAGTTACAGTTCATAGACCCAACGTTTCGACATTCCTGTTTACTGCCTTCGTCATCACCCCTGATTAAGATCCTAGAAAGGAGTGTGCAAACGTTGCGTCTGTTTAACTTCCCTGTTACATTTATTAAATCTTTAAACCAATGTAGTATCAAACCATGTCTGAAGGCAAAATACGTTTTCACTAGAACAAGTGTTGCCTCAGTATGTGCCATAACAACGCAACTTGCCTGGTTGGATTTACGGACAAGGGATACAAATGTGTGTATCAGGCTGGTTACAAGGGGGAACATTGTGAAAAAGGTGAGGGCTACTATGCGTTGCATCAAGCATATTTACTATTATATGTATGCACGCCGGGCTGGCGCGTGCCGTGAAGTGGAACTTTGTCGCCCGCTGTTGTTTGAGATTGTACAGCGGAAATGCGAATAAAAGTACAAAGCAGTTTTCAAAATGGCGGCTGAAAATAGCATTTTGAATGCTATTGTGGCTCTTCGTCCTTTACGTGATGAAGTCGATAATTTCTTTTTGTTTGAAGAAGAAATAAAAACAGCTCTCACTTCAATTTTTGAAAAAAACCGTGTGGGCCAAAGCTCTTTGAAACGAGCTAAAATGTCACAAATTCCAGCGACAGCACTCCTGGAAGGAGAAGTGAAGATGTGGCTTAAGATGCTCCATAGGCGCCTCAGTCCAAGAATGAAGGCCCGAAGCGCTTGGACTGTAGAGTTTAAAAGGGCGATGTCCTCGGAAATATTTTCCTTAATTTTACAGATGGTTAAAAAGGCCCGTTCCGCTTATGGTGTTGTGCACAACGAAGAAAAACACACAGATATAATCTACTATAACAGAGAGAACAGACTGATTCGAGATTTTGCCCAGTTATCTGAGCTAAGCAGAGACTCAGTCCGAGAATTCCTTATTAAGCAGAGTAAAGGAACAAGAAAAGGAACTTCAAAAGTTTCCATAACTTCTGAAACGCCTTTCACCATCACATTTATTAAGAGGACACAGCAAGTGGTGGGTATTGTCTCAAGTCTCTATATGCACCATTGACTTGGTTTTCAGTTTCTAAGCCCTCTAGATAGTCTGGGTCAATTTCATGAACAGTCCCAATGTCAATCTTTTTTAACTGTTCTACAAGGTTACTATAAGTTAGAAGCTTTGGAACCTTACAGCCTTTACAAATTGAAATACTTGTTCTTTTCCCTGGTTTGCCTTCATTTGATTTCATTGAAAGCACCAGTCTTACACTTTTGTACTTTCGTTTCCCCATTACACCACTTGCATAATATGTTGCAATACTTCGAACAATGTTGTCATCTGACTTTTCAAATTCTAACACACTCTTCTTATACTCTTTACAAACTATTCTATTGGTCAACTGCTTGTTCTCTGTCACATATTTTGTTAACTTATCTAACTTGCATCTCTTTTGCAGAGTGTCAAACATTCCCTCGAAACAGGCTGAGGAATGTTCATTTGAGCTCCCATGAATTTTGGCAGCAGCTTCAATGGTTTCATGCCTCCTTTTTCTTGTGGTCCTTGGTCCCAGTGTTGATTCTCCGTTGACAAGTGCAGTAGGGCTTCTTGTTGGTGCCTGAGATACCTGTCCCTGTGACTAAAATATTGCTAAATTAGACACTGGGTAGTAACACAATTATTTAAATTAGATGTGGTTGGATGATAACAAAATAGATATTTAGCCAAATCTTGCATTCAATATGTTGATGTTTACAATTTAGAGACACTGTCATTTATGACAGTCTTTACTGACCAAATGAACACAGGCACTCGCTCAGGTTTCTTGCATAGGTACCGGCATAGAAGCCTGACCATGGCTGTCATTCTGGCACTGGCTCTGTGTTAAGTGATTAGTTCACCGAAATTGAACTTGCAAAATATTTTTTTTTATTTTTACAAAATTGAATATTTTTCTGTTCACATTATTAATAAAATTTGGCATAAAATTAAACCTCATCCAACCACTAATCAATGCAAACCTACAGACTTAGTTGGAGGTTGCACCCAGCAGTTTTTTGCTGCATACTTACTGGTACTGGTAAAACAACCACAATAAAGAATCAAGAGTATACTCACAGGAATATTTTCTAATTCATTTGTTATGTCTTTGAAGTGTTCCCTGACTGTGGCCAACTGAAAGCAATTATTATACAAGTGATTTCATAAGCACTGATTGTTTAATTTCAACTGTCATTTAGAGTTTAAACACATAAAAAGCTTTTACCCTGTCAAAATTGAAATTCAAGCCTCCCTACACATGGACCTCCACCACTTTCCTATAATCCTTTGTTACAATATTCTCTGATATTGAAAATAAAAATCTTCTCAAAACCTTAATACTGGACAAATTTATCTCACCTTTTCTTGGGCTCGCTGGACTGTTTTGTACTCTGCCGATAGCTTGCGATTTTCATCAACAGCTTTCTCCCTTGCAACCTTGCGAGCTTTCATGAATTGAGCCAAGTTAAAGCGCGTGTTCTTTGTGTGCGGCATCCCAGAAATTAACTCATAAAAAACTAAGGAAAGAAGGCAAAATTAGGAAAACAAAAATCATAGGGCTTTTGTCAAGGCTTTGAAGTTTCGGTTCGTAGCACAAATTCTCGGATAAGTAGAGAAACTTAAAAAACTATCCTAGCCAAAAATACGATAGAAACGACAAATAAACCTTACCTTTTCTTTTACTATTTCCTCTACTGTCTCTTGCTAAGCGAACATCGAAGAAACCATGGCATATTTAGTATCAAAATGACAGGAAAACTGTGTACTTTCAGCACATTCGAGTTTTGGCGCCTTCGGACTAACTCCAGGACCGCTTGGAGGCAGTTTTCAACAGGCGTTAACTCAGTTCCAGGCTTCTCTAAAAACCACACGGTCACAAACGCCATATTTGTGGACGCTGATTGTTCCGCTTCAGAGCGCTCACCAGCCCGGCGTGATGCGTCTGTTTTATAGCCGTTTAAATTTTTTTATACCGTAAGCCTCCATATGTCCTACGAGCACTTACGATTCGTGTATAACACTTTGTACCCATTCGTGTCATCTCGTGTAGTGTATCGCGCTTTAATTATTTGTTTTAGATATTGACGAGTGCTCCAACAACACCCCTAACTTCCATGCCAAGGCTGTGTTTATAATATCGAGAAATCTTACAGTTGTAGATGTAAAGAAGGTTTTAAGGGGGGCAGATGAAATTTCATAGTTAAGTTCAGAGTGATCATTGCAATTTCTTATGTAATGTTTAAAAAACGAGCAGGAGTGTTTTATCGGGTTTAAAACCACGAGGCGTAGCCGAGTGGTTTTTGACCCGATAAAACACGTGCTGCGAGTTTTTTGAACGGCTTCAAAAACATTCTTGGAAAAGCGTGTGTCAAGAGAGTTCATAACAATTATGCTTTTGTGAACGTTAGAAATTAGCATACGAGAAAAACATTCATAAGTCACGTGCAGTGTCTTTATATCTGATAAAACACCGCATACTAATAAGGATGAGGTTTATCGATATAAAGTCACTGCACGTGATGTATTATCTACCATTTGATAGGTTAATGGGCTTATGAATTATTATGAGTTTTTGAATAGTAGTGTAGAATACCAAGATTAGTAAATTTTTTATTCTACCATAATTCAATTCTGGCAATAAAGGCAAGAAAACGCTAAAAATAGGAGATCACAACAGAACGAGTCACAACTTATAAAGACAAGAATAGAAGCAAAAAGACCAAAAACGAGAATAGTAATAATAATGATGATAATAATCGAAGTATTTATTCAGGATAACCCTTCAATACAAAAGTACTATTATCAAAAGGGTCCTGCTGATTAAGAATTAAAAACTAAGAAATAAGAAGTTATCAAAATATATATAAATTAGTATCTATTAAAACAAAAATACACTAAGCTAAAAACTGCTAAAACTACAATAGAAGTTACGAGTAATAATCGTCAAGGGCCTTCCTATATAAAACTCCAGAATTAATGTTCCTTAGACTTAAAGGCAATGAATTCAAACTTCAGGCACCAAAAAAAAAAAAAAACTACGGCGCGCAAAATTCAGTTTGACCCTTGGTAGCTTTGCTGTTTTCTCATTGGTCTCAGTTTTTTAGAACTGAGGAAATGATGATTTGACATATCAAGCTTACAAACCAATAAAATAAACAATAAATAATAATAAAGTTTGACTATGCTTACAAATAAACAAAAGAACTTGTGATAAGAAAAGAGGTTGAGGTGAACCCTTTTTTGCCCTTCAGCATTCAAAGCTGTTTTTACAAATCTCAATGCCACCGGAAGACGTGGTCCAACATCGCTGGGCAGTCACTACACAGGTCAGGATCATGACGGACAAGTTACACTGATCAGTGGTATTCAACAGTGGACTGTGCCGTACACTGGTGACTACAGAATAGAGGCAATAGGAGCGGCAGGAGGGTATGATAAACACTCTAGCAGTGCTCAGTACCGAGGAAGAGGAGCAAGAATGATTGGAACATTTCGCTTAAACAAGGGTGAAGTCATCCAGATAATTGTAGGTCAAGAAGGAGGAATAAACAAGCAGTATTCTTCTTCCGGCGGTGGTGGAGGTACATTTGTAGTGAGAGGAACTGACACACCTTTGATAATAGGTGGAGGCGGGGGAGGCGCACTAGCTGTTAAGTCAAGACATGAGGGATGCGACGCCAGTACAAACACAACAGGGAATCCTGGATACAATTCATGGTCAGGGGGGAGCAACGGACATGGTGCAGAGACTGCTGATAGTGGCAACTCAGGTAAGATAATACTGTGTTGATCCCTAACCCCTTAGCTCCTCATTAATTAATTATACTTCAAATTTAGATAATCGGCCCTAGTCCCCCCTCCAAAAAAAAAACAAAACAAAAAAACAAACACTGAGACTACCTAGGATGAGGACCAGTTTATATATTTAGGGATAATGTAGACACATGTAAGTGCAGTAACGGATGGTGCCTCAATAGAAATATATCCTACACAGGTTTGACCACGCTGATATGGGTACATTTGGGATTAAAACAAAAAACAAAACAAAACAAAAAAATAGAACGAAAAGACTAAGACCTTACTCATCATTTGTTTTTGTTTTGTTTTGTTTGTTTTTTCCTCAGGTGGTGGTGGTGGCGGGTTTTACTCCAGTGGAAGAAGTGGAAAGAATTTCAATGGCACCAAGGGAAACGGCGGAGAAGGTGGTAAGGGATTTCTTCAGGGAGGCGAGGGTGGGAGATCACTGCATCACAATGTTGTTGGTGGGTTTGGTGGAGGAGGTGGAGCTCTGGGAATGGGGGCGGGGGGAGGAGGAGGAGGAGGAGGAGGGTACTCTGGGGGAAGCAGTGGAGATGGTCATCGTGATTCCTGTGGGGGTGGGGGTGGCTCTTACAACGATGGAAACAACCAGGACAATGCGTGTTGTTATGGTACGGCTGGTCATGGTCAGGTGACTATCACATTACTCTGAAATGAAAAAATACGTGTAATCAAATATAGTGATGACGGAATTAGAACTTAACTCTGTATGATTGGCATTCCAATTGATTGATAGCAGTCACTAAAAGTATAATCTAGCCCGAAATTAAAGGAGGCTCTTATCTACGACTAAAAGTACAAAAAAAGCCCAAACAATTTGAGACAGTAATGTGTTCCCTTAAGTCGAATTTCACTCGTTATACTTTTGATAACGGATTGAAATTAAATTCGATTTAATATCGTCAACTTTAAAATTGAAGGAATGAAATTCGGTTTTCTTGTTTAAGTAGCCTATGTTACCAACCGTTAGAACAAATTTTGTTTAACCCTTTACCTCCCATGAGTGACCAAGAGAGAATTTCTCCTTACATTATCAATACAATATCAAGCATAAAACTGATGAGAATAAAGAAAAATATCAATTCGGGAATTACTAGTTGATCCAATACCAAATTCTCCAAATTGACATCATAACAATTATATGGCAGATAGTAAGGAGAATTACTTAAGAGATCTTGGGAGTTAAAGGGTTAATCCTTGCGATAAGGTCATCCGGAAAGATGACATTAGGCGTGGACATATCATCATAAGGGGCAACCATGAACGATGAGAAACAAATTGTGGATTATTATATGAGTAATGCGTATTGCTTGTTCGTTAGCTTCACTACGCTGACCTAATTTACCGATATTAAGAGAAGATCAGTATAGATTTGAATCCAAAAGGTAATAATGCTTCTCATACAGGAGTAGTCAAGAAACCAAATGCCTTTTTGAAAGCTGCTAAAAGGTATAATCTTATGCCTAAGTATTCGTAATCAAATAACCAAGAGGGAGCTTGTTTCACGAACGACTTGTCAAGATTTTAATTCTTTTCGAACCTTTCGGCGAGGGAAATAATTAGAAATTGCAAACTGGTAGGACAACGATAAAAACCCAAAAAAGTTGCCACAACAGCTCTCTCGATTTTCTTTTGAAACTGAAAAGAAATCTAAAGTTTCGGATCAAAATTAGGTACGACGTATACGTTCGTATTTGGTTTAATCATAACCATTAAAAATTTCCTCAAAAAATACTGGTACATTCGCAGCTTCGTTTTTCATTAATCATTCTGTACAGTTGTAATCGGACGGTGTAATTGGACAGTCGCCTGTAATCGGACACCTGTAATCGGACAGTTGAAGCAGCCAATCATGCTAAGTCCCCTCAGCTAATCCACCAATTACAGAAGTGATCAAAATTATCATAGCAACAACCACTTATCGAAAGAAAAAAACTGAGTTTCCAAAATGGAGGAATTTTTAACTTAAGACATTGTTTCCACTGGAGATATTTGTTCTAGGTGTATTTGTTTGTTCGGAAATCAGGAAATGGCTATGATTAATCGGTAACAGGACTTCCTGTCGTCTAATTCTGTTTGTAATCATATCGATGATTACAGACCGAAATGGACTCCACTCAGTCCTATTACCATTATTAATAGTACCCATAGAAAGTAAAATGGTACTTTTGTCGTGTGAATTATACATATTGCACCAGTGTTTGATTTAAGTGATAATATTTACATTTACATATAGTCCTAGATAACTGCGTGACCTACGTTTGGTTTTCCAACATACGAGAATACACATTCTCGTCATAGAATTTGTATCACGCACTTTGGTAGAGTGTTCTGGATAAGAAAAGTACGCTAACCATATATTTCGTAGATACTCTTTTGATAAACAAAGAGATATCGATGCCATCGGATAAAAAGTTGTTTGTTTGACCTAAGAAAGAAAAAAACTGCTCTAAGGTATTGGGTTCAATCGAGAGTGTGGAAAAGATGGTTGAATCTTTGTTTCACTCGAACTGAAGAAGCTTGATGTTAACATAACTATGCCTAACGCTAACATTACCTTGAGTAAGACTTAGAGGTATTATAGTAGCTGTAAATTTGACACAAGGTTAGGTTTAACTTAGCATCTCCTCATGAAACTTTTGGTTGAGAAAAGTGTTCTTGAAGTTTTATTTCATTCGAAAACATCATAAAGCTGTTACTACATCGTAGGTGAGACTGGAAGCTTAGTGCAAAGCTAACAATAAAAAAAAACTCTCTAGTATATTATTTGTGACTTTCTTGACTGTACAAGCGATAATCGAGCAGGGGAACTAGTTCAAATATCCACAACCTTCCTTTTCTGTTTGCGCGTGAATGATAATTCCGGCTAAGTCGAGTGTAAAACTCAATTTGAAACTTAAGACCAAGGGCTCATAAATAAACAAAAGAAACATATAACAGAGTTGAGTGAACGATTACCTTCATTTTGAGATTAAGCCCCCCCCCCCCTCTATCTCTCTTCTTAGAGTAAATTATGACTTGCTTACTTTTAGGGGGGAATCCTTATCTTTTACACTAAATTCAATTTTAAAAAAATCATGCGTAATGTTGAAACAGTGGATCTGCAAATGTAAGCAAAAGATGCATTTCAATCAACACAGGGGATTTAACTGATTCCTTTATAGCACTACACGGATTCTTTTCTGAAGAAGTTGATTCATTACAATTTTTTTTTACCTAATAATGATGTGTTATAAATAAACACCTCAACGCACAAGTGGAAAGCAATAAAATTTTCCAAGAATTCCAAGGCTGTGAAATATTATGTTTATGTGTTGTCAAATCGAAGTATGCACAGATTAAGTCAATAGTTTGACTTGCCGACGCAAATGGATGTCTTAGCGTTTCGTTCTTAGCAAAATTCACATCGATCTGTTTTATCAGGATGAAAGTCTCATGTCACAGTTTCCGCTGTCACTGATCGCCGTGATTCGGTATATTCAAGTTATAAGTGTGTTTCAATAAGTGGGGCTCGAAAACTCATCAAATCTCAGCTGGCCGCCAAGGGCTTAGAAAGTCAAGTCGAATCTATTCTCATCTCCTGAGTGGAGGGAATAATGGCCTAACAATGAGACGGCGTGTATGTCATCTGTGTATCGCAGTGATAGTTATCAATAATTGATACCGTTTGTCAGCGATGCATCTGTCGAAGATTTTGTAGACGCTTAAGCAGTGCTAGACTTTCGCTTGTCCCTACAAAAGTAAGATTTGCGAGTCATGTCCTAATGTTATGTTGAGGATGGAAGAGCACTGTTCTTTATTTTTTTCTTCGCTTTTCAATTTTTTTCTGTGGGGAGGATGGCTTCTCTGCTTTACAGAAGGAAACCAAGGTAAAGAATTTAATTCACTCCTCTCCTCACTTAATGCAACTTTAATTTAATATGCGACTTATTGACTGCCTGAAAAAAGTCAAATTAAATTCTTATTAAGAAAGTCTCCTTTACCTACTAAGGATGAAATTTTCATTTTCCTCATCGACTCTTCCTATTTAACCTTAATTTTGCTCTTGACTTCAATTCTCAACTTTAATTCGACAAAATTCATTTGTTTCTTTTTCGGTGTAAATGGTTCCTTTTTTTCCGGTGGTGGAATTTTTCTTTTACATCAACTTTGCGATATATTTTCCCAACTTGCGGTAAACTTTTAAGATACGCTACACTTCTACGTCTCTTAGTTTCATTTCACTTTGTTTTTCCAGCTTTTTAAATATTTTGTCAATATGGCTCAGTTCACATAGCTCCAATCAAAAAAGGAAGAAGAGGAGGGAGGGGAGATTGAGGACCCTAGCGTACGCTCGTTTGGGGAAAGACGTTTATTTTTTGTTCCTTTAACTCCCCTTTCACTTTTTTTTTCCATCTTCGTTGTCATACCACTGAATAAGCTGTATCTTATCGCAAGAATATGTTTGTATTCCACAAAATATCTTCTTTCTAAATAATGAAGAAAGCTTTAATTAGTAATGAGAGAAAAACGAAATTTTCATACAGCACTGTTTAAAATCCAACGCTCTTCCAAAACATGTAGAAATGGTAAATTTCAGTCCTAAAACACTCCGAAGAAAAAGCTGATTTTTTTGTCACAATTATTTTATGATGTGATCGATTTAAAGGAAACGTGACAATTTATACAGAACTGTTTAATTACATAGAGAAACACTTCGAGAAGTAAATCCATACCGTTTCGGAAAAACATCTTTGTACAGCCGTACCTTTGACTCCTTCAGTCTCTTTCTTCCTCAGAATTATCTAGTTAAAAAATATAGTCCTATGATGTAAAATTATATCGTAATTTTGTTTCAACTTTGCGAGATATGTAGCTTTGCGTACGAAATCTCGTAGGATGAAATGTCAGCCAAAAGCCTTGAATACTGACCTCTTACTAACCGAGCGAGGGGGCCGTACTGGGGAATATTGGCCTAATGTCACAACGCTGGGTCCGTACAGAAACAACTGAGGGCCAATAATCTCCTGGACGGCTCGAGCAAGTGATATATTTGAGCTGAGCAATATTTTAGCCGGCACTTTTTTTCTCATTTGTGCAAAATTAACGACTAACCTGCCATTACACCATTGCTGATTTAACATGGAACAGAAATGTGGAAGAGTTTGTTATACTATTTGAAGCAAAAAAGGTCCAACATGCTTGTCATCATATCTCTACCTAATCAGTTGCAGGTATTCACAGTCGAAGTCTCATGTTTGAGAAGCCAGTTGAAGGACATGCTCTGCAACAGCACGTTTTCAAACAAATATATTTATCCATGGGAATTAAGCCAGATAGCGACTGCAAAAATAGGTGTCTCATGGAAAATACCTGTGTGTCTGTTAACGTTGGCCCATCCAGCAAGAATGGATTCAGGGTCTGTCAACTGAGTGATTCTGATCACATTCAACATCCTGCTGACCTTAAACCCCAAGAAGGATACCAGTATTGGGCTTCAAAGGTATCGATATTTGGATAGAACACAATACGATAGATTCATTTTCCAATTTTCCTTGGTATGGTTATACTGAGTTTTTACTACAATAAATCCTACTAAAGGTAAATTTATCCTTGCAGAATCCATGTTCAAGCAGCCCTTGTCTTCCTAATGCAACCTGTCTAAATGGGTTTACAGATAAGAGATACATTTGCTTGTGTCAAGTTGGTTTTAAGGGAAAACAATGTGGAAAAAAAGGTAACCAGAAGCTGAGACTTGCTCTAAATAAAGTTCAGGTTTACCTTCATGCTTGTGTGTTATCTCCTCCTGTGAATCTTTTACTTTGACATATCTCGTCATCCGCTTCATTTTTATCATTATTATTATAATTATCATTATTTTATTTGTTGCTTTTTCCCACCTCCAATATTCGTGGTTGGTATCCGTTGTGTAGTGGATTGATTAATATGTTATTTGAAGGCTAAGGACCTGTTTATGTGGAGATGGGGGACCCCAGGTAGGTGAGGTAATCCGCTAGCAGTGGTCGAAAAATAAAACGCGTTTGCATACAGTCTTACAACCCGGGGTGCTTGGGTGAGGTTTCTTGGGGTTTTTATTGCGTTCGCAATTAGAGAGTTTCAGCATAGGCGTCCCAAGCCTACGTCTCGAGAAAGACGAAAGATTAATTCTCGGACAGGTATGTATTTATTCATGAAAGCGTCGCGCATTATGTTACGCGGTGTTGGGTTGCATGAGGAACCTTTGACTTAATACGTTTTAAGGACTGGTTTGGGAAACGAAATATGGTCGATTTACGACGCTAAATATTGCGAAATGTGAAAATTTTACACTCCTTGTGTGTCCATTGCAGTTTCTGGTGATTTCTGCCATGAGAAGGCTAGGAAATGTACAAGGTTTTACCCTAATGATTATCTTGGACCCATGTAGTAAGACATGTGGTGGTTCTGATGTCCAAAACTGCATGCTTGTTTGTGTTGGGCTACTGCCGATCAACTCTACCACTTGTGACAGTGTGTGCCCCGGGTCAAACTTTGAAAAAAAGAGCATGCGTCATTCACGACTTTCAAGATTTGTTAATTAAAGATTTATCAGTAGGAAGTCACAAATGAATTATATTTTAATAATCCTTTTAATTTGGAACGATTTTCTTTTCAGTTGAGTACAATTCACTTGGTTGTTTTAAAGACAGTACTCCCCGCGCTCTCCCGTTGCTACTAAAAAACTTCCGGGGCAACATCGATTGGACTGACATGACGAAAATCGTTCGAGCATGCGCAGAGATCAGTATTACGGAGAATGTTGGAGTGGACTGGACGCCGAAAACACGTACAATAAGTACGGACTTTCCGCAAACTGTCGGAATGGAGTGGGAATGAAGGGAACAAATTATGTGTACAAAATATGAGTAAAAGTTCCAGTTTTTGTCGAAATTGAGGGGTTAAATATTTGACATAATAATCCTTAGGAGTAGGTTGTGACACGTCATAGAATTAAATACTCCTAAATAAATAACAAAACTGCGTTATCGTTTTATATTCCCTTCAAATGAAAACCTGCAGCTATGAAATATTCCTGAAAACAGACAACTTGTGGGGCATCCTAATATTTTCACTCTCTCCATAGTCACTAGTCATAGTCACCCCGTAGTCACTAGTCACAGTCTCCACGTACATACTGTTCATAGTCTCTCCATTGTCACTAGTCACAGTCTCCACGTATATACTGTTCATAGTCTCCATTGTCACTAGTCACAGTCTCCACCAAGATACTGTTCATAGTCTCTCCATAGTCACTAGTCACAGTCTCCATGTATATGCTGTTCATAGTCTCTCGATAGTCACTAGTCATAGTCATAAACAGGTGCAACAGTGAACACTTGGCGATATTATAAACTTTTCTAGATCTTAAGAAAGTAATTTGTCAGTTTTTTATGACTTATACAACATTTTTAGACCAATTGCAGTGTAAAGTAGTAAAAATATAAAAAATATCTATCCATTACTAAATCTCAAATGACATCAATTTCTTGGCGATAGTCATTTCAAGTTTTGCCTACAAGTTGAACAACTTTACGACTGAAGAGCACATGATACCTTCGACTGCTTTCCATAGGAAAAACACCAAGAACAACGTCCTCTTTTACTTAAACCGTGCAATCAGAAAACACGATATACTGATCACCTACGGGCGTGTGAACTGTCACTGGAAAAGCAAACTTTCCTAAAGCAAATATAGCATCAGCTCGTTTTAGTTCTTGCAGAAAAACCTGCACTAGGTCAGCGGTTAGCATAGCGGTTAGACGTGTCCCTTTCGCCTTTGTAGTTTTAATGATCCTTTTACTTTTATTTGGTTTTCAACCAGAAGAAATTATATCTAGAAATATTTGATATTGTGCTTCCTGTGCACCGTTAGGCTTTGACAGTCCAGGAACTTCTGTGGGGGAAATAACTAGCCTGAAACGACTGGATTCCACGTGGAGATCGAGCCGCCATCTTGGATTTCGACTTCATCGAAAAGGTTACTTTCGCTCTAGAATGAATTATCATCACAACTCAACTGCTACTTTTCATTAGTTAAAAGCGGAGATGTAAGTACTTATCCTGGTCCCACTGCTATTCCAGTTGTAATTGGTAATCGACGTCCGACAAACTGTTATCCTGTTAATGCCACACGTGTTTCACCGCGTTTGTGTGGCTTGGACAACTTGAGAAATGTTCAACGACAAACTGTTTTTGTAACTCGCAGTTATATTTCCTGCTGTGTTCAGCTTTGCCTGCTTAATGTAAGATCTGTTAAGAATAAGGTGATGATAGTGAAAGACTATGTTGTGGACAATGATATTGATATTATGGCTTTGGCAGAAACATGGCTACTGGAAATACCAATGATGTTGAAGTGGGAACTTTGTGTCCTACCGGCTATAGGTTCCTACATATTCCAAGATCTCATTCCAGGGGAGGAGGAGTTGGTGTGTTATTTAAAGACAATCTTAATATCAACTCCTCAATGTGTGACACTTTTCAGTCATTTGAATTCATGGATGTCCGTCTCAGAAGCCTCCAGTGTATTAGGATCCTGG